CTAGAAACCCCCTGAGCAGGTCACAACCGGAGGTAAAATGAGTAAGGAAGGGACTGAGATCTCCTGAGCTCAGGCTTTCCAATGTCACACATGTCCTTGGAGGCACTGAGATGCTCACAGTGCAGAGCTTTCCACAGGAGCTTGATCTTACCGCATTGGCAAGCTCAGTACACGCAGCTCTGCCCCACAGCAGCCTGGCTCCCTAGGGCAGCCAAATCTCTGAAAATCCCTGGAACTTCAAGAAGTGGTGGATGATAACCTTAATCCACAGCCAGGAGGAACTGCAGCACTGACTTTAATGGAAACAGAATTAGATCAACTCCAGCTACCAGGGAAAATCTTCCTTAATAACTGTTATTATAATGCAAATCTCTATGGCACCAGCCACCAGCACATATAAGTTCATTAAAATGGCAAAAATCCTGCAGGGGAAGAAGCATTCTTTCCTCCTGGTACAGAGTAGTAAATGAGATATGAGCTGAAAGGACTCACCCTTGGTTTCTCTAAGCATCACAGCAAAACAGCACATTCCCCAGCACCATTCCCTGCCTCAGGAAGAGGCCAACCACCCTCATAGCGCTCAGGAGCAAGTTGAGAAAATGTAGAGCACGTTGTTAAAAAGGAAAGAGTCACTCCTACCTAATAACAACCCCCAGCCCCTTTTTTAAATGACCTGTGGGTCAGGTGTGACACTGTAGTAGTACAGATGGGAGGGGAAATCAAAGCAAACAACACAACAGGGGGTGGTGAGGATTAGCAATTATACACTCAGGAAGCCCTGATAATTAGAAGCTTTTCAAGAGAAGGGTTAAAGGACTTTGCAAACCCAGATGGAAGCTGATTTTAACAAGCAGTGGTAAGTCCCAGCACTGGAGAGGCCATCAGCAGTGCAATGTCCTGTGCCGGTGCCTCCAGTACAACAGGGTACAGCTCCAACCAAGGCTGTGCTACACCAGCAGCCACCTGCCACTGCCCGAGTGCAAGGCAGTGATTAGCCTGATTGACTTTCTGAGGGATGTTATGATATTCAAATGAGTAATGATGCAGCCAGGACTGGTAAAGAATTATTCCCTCCGTAACAGTCAGAGCTCTTTGTGAGAGCCCAAAACCACTGGGTCATCTGATTGCTCAGAAGTGGCCCATCACCAGTGGCTCCCAGAGGAGGATTTCTGAGGAATTCACTTTTCCTTAATGACAGTGTGTAACGCAGCAGCTTTTTGCTTGAGTCAACAGAGCCCCAGACTGTTAGAGAGGGCTGGAGAACAGCTCACACCTGAAGCAGGCTTTTTGTCTTTTCCCAGGCAGAGGGAAGTGCACAGCAAAGAGTGGAACAAGTCACAGTTGATTTGCTTGTTCTTTAAATAGGGTTATGGTCATCTCCTTCCCTGCTCTAACTCAGGGAAGCTCAGAACATGGATGTGGATTTGTGAAATGGGTTCATTTAACTGTTATATTTGCCTTCTTAGAAAAGGCACATGAAAGCCATAGAATCATACAATAAAAGACTGGTTTAGGTTGGAAGGGACCTTAAAGCTCATCCAGTTCCAAGCCCCTGCCATAGGCAGTGACACCTTCCACTGGACCAGGCTGCTTGGGCCCTTTAAGAATGAAAAAACTACATATAAATCTAAGAGGCTGGCCAGAGCTGGTTCACCTTGTCCCCAAATGAACACTAACTTTGAGGTAGTTCTTGAGGTTTATTGCACTAACCAAGAAAACCAGGTCATGTAAAATGAAAACACCCACATTACCTGTGCAGCCAGAAGTGCCTTCCCAGCAGAGACTTGTTCACTCTGCACTTGTCTTAGACCATTATTTTCACTTCCCTGAGTTGTGCTTCATGAACGATACTACAGGGAGCAGACGTGACTTTTGGTGAATTGTACTGCATGGGGCTGTGAGTTGGAAACAAGGACTGGACACACTGAGCTGTGACAGAGGTAGTGTTCCCCCTCACATGTTCCTCATCCTAAACAGGGGTGCAACGTGGAGAAAGTGCTCCTAAGAAGCACAGGAGGGGACAAAGCTGCCCAGTGATCACAGGAGAGGGAGACTCAGAGCCCAAGAGCTGCTGACCACCTGCTGATGCCCCATCCTGCCCTTGCCAGCAGCTTGTTCATGTCATGACACAGCAGCAGTAAGTGGACCTGATTTTTAACACAATAAACCTCAGAAACCTGAGTAGGAGCTTCCAGAGCCCCCAGAAGCACAAGTGCAATTTCTCTGAGTAATAAACCCTGCAAAGGCCAAGCCCTGGCATGATGCTCAGGATGCTGCAGAAAGGCTGAGGCTGGATACAGCACTGGCCATCTCCTATGGCAGCTGGGATGAGATGGCTGGGTTCTGTCATGCCATGTCCCATGCAGCACACCCAGCTCCACCACCCTGTCTTACAGGTCTTGAGGCATTACAGGGGGGCTCAGACTGTCAGCACCCAGAAGCATGAACTAAAGCCTGTCTTGAAGTTTAATCACTTAATGAAAATGTAACTTTCAATACTTCATTAGCATCTCCCATCTGTTAAACACCATCCCAGAGAGTTTGGTGACACTTTAAAAGAAGCTGTGAAGAGACGTCTTTGTTTCAGATGTAATTGGACAGCTGTTTTATTATGAATTTATGAACTATGAAGATTAAAAAGAACCAGTTTTAGTAAACCATGTATTAACAATTACTCCTAACTAAAGTCACAACAAAACAAGTGCTAGGTAACTTTCATGGCAACAACTGGAAGCAGAAGATGATAAAGCAAAACCAGTGACGTTCAAAGGACAAAGGGTGCCTCCAGGCCAGGCTCACGTACCAGGCATGGGGTCCCTCAGCCACGGAATCCCACAAAGGGCTGGGAAGGGAGAAAGGATAGTGATGGCAGCAGGCTCAGAGGTAGAGATGATGGACCTGTTGGTGCTTTGAAAACATATTGCAGACTCTTCTTCCCCATGTCCTCAGTCTCTTTTGGCCAAGGCTGTCTGCCCTATAGGCACTGCAGAGAATGGGATGCTCTCCAATGTAGGGCTGCATCCTTCCTGGCTGTGAGGTGACAGAACCAAGGCCATGCTGAGCATCAGTGGTACCACAAAAAGCTGACCCCAAGCTGAGGAGTCCTGCATTCGTCCTTTCCACACTTCCCACTTTAGAAGAGATGTCTGTGCTTTGGCTGAACTCAGTGCCAATGACCAGAGGCCACAGAAAGCAGCTCCTGGGGTTTCCATCGGAGTTTCCCAGTTGCTATGGAGCAGGTTTTGAGCAAGTCTTTGCCCTGAAAGAGTTTCAGTGAAAAGGCTCAGAAGGGTTAAATGAAGACAGGTACATATGCCATGTGTGCAAACCACTTATCTTCTGCTGCCAAATTAAATCTGTTGCCAATCATTGTGCCTTCCCAACAGCTGCCTCCTGCTCTTTCTCCACCTCAGCTCTCCATTTGGCTTTCTTTTCTATGTTCATCCGCACCAGAGTTTGATCCTTCTTAGCAGCCTTGAAAGGAAATGGTGAAAATCATTGAACACACACATTCCCCACCGCTGAGTTTCCCCACATTTGCACCAGTGGCTTTCATACCCCACTGACCCTTTTGGTATGTTGCAGTGACAGAAGTTGATGTATTTGCTTGGTTTACCAATTTTTCACCATTTGCAGCTCTGATTCTCAGGAAAATCACGCTTATAACTATTTACAGGTACACTGGGGCATACAAATCAGGCACCAGACCCTCACTGCCCACCACTGGGATGGGAAGAATTGAATGCCACAGCTGTTGGTGGCTGTAGTGGCACAGGCTAGGTAGGCAGGACCAAGGAAGCCTCCTGCTCCCCAGATGCAGGGCAAGACCAGGCACTATTGACACTGTATAATGTACTCCACAACCTTTGGACCAGCCTCTTGGTGAGATACCATGATAGAGAGCACTGTTCTGCACAGGTTCATGGCAAAGCGGGTCAGAAGGAACACATTAACCAGCACATTTACCAGCTGTGCTTCCCACATACTTATTTACAAAGAGAGCATACGTAGACCATACATTAAGTGGGTTGGTTCACCAAGAAACAATACTCACTTCTTTGCCTGTGATGACCATGGCCAAACAGCCCAGCACAGTCAGTGCAATCATGATGTAGCACACCTTTATCCTGACGTTGCTCCTTGCTGCTTCGAGGAGCTCAGACCTGTGGAGGACAGAGCAGAGTTTCCATCCTGCAGCAGCATGTGTGACATGAGACCATGGGGAGCTGAGTAATGAATCCTCAAGTCTTCCAGCAAGTGCTTATTAATGTACAATGTGTTTCAGCCTCCTCTTTCTGCAAGTTCTCAGAGGACTCCTCAAAAAATTAGCTTATAGGGGAAAGATTTAGTCACCCTCCCACACAGGCAGGGTACTGCTACTCCCAACAGTCATCAGTAACAACACGAATAACGAATCCTGCTCAACAAACTGCATATTAGATATAAAGCCACTTGTCTTGCAAAAGATGCTCCAGCTTAGTCTGAAATGTATTGTATCCGATACAGTTTCCTTCACAGGGCATGACAAAAAGTTTATGCTCCCCAACAATTCAGGTTCATCAGCAGCAGAGCCCATCAGCACGGAGGAGGGCGAACCCCCCCACATGAGCACCACTGCGGGTAATGCTGACTGGGAGCTCAACCTGTACATTCACATCCAAAAGCATCATTCAGACAGGTCTACTTACGATATGTGCTTGGGGATGTCCTCCTCCCTTTTAAAGCGTCCTGCCCACACTAACACCTTTTTATCAAAGTTCGTAGGCCTTCTGTCGCGTTGGAAAGTCTTGTAACCTGCAGGACATTTTATAGGAGAAAACAATGAGCTGAGCTTAAAGGGAGGAGAAAAAAAGCTGTCATTCAGCAGGAAAGGAGTGCGAGTTCAAAACAACACTTCTCTATTCCGTGAGAGCCAAATGTGCTTTCTTGTGTCAGAAGGAGCCAGCAGCTGGGGGGAGAGGCTTTCTTACATTTGCAGCTTATTTAATTTTGTGCTTTATTTGTTGTTGTTTAGGTAGGTTTTAAACTAGAACTGTCTTCTAACCTTCCTGATGAAGGGGGAAAGGATGCGGGGCTGAAGCCACCCAAGCCCGCAGCATTGCTCTTAACCTGCAAGCATCTTGCTTTTAAATGGCCCAACTAGTGAGTTAAGCAACCTGTCAGCAGCATTAACAACTCCTCGACAGCGTCTCCTCCTGTAAGCACTGATGGAGAGATGAGGTCTGTTAAAGCACAGCCTGGTGGGAGGCTGGCAGTAGCTCTCATGCAAGCTGGGTACCACATTACTGTACTCTAATGATGATACATTACATCCCACCAGACTACTACGGTGATGCCATTAGCATGCTGTCACCGTGAGCGGAATGAGAAAGGGACTCTGGCTCCTCTTGGTGGAAGCAAACCCAATGACAGGCCACGACAAGGGCAGTGGTAGGGTGACGCGGAAAAAAACAGCAATGGCTAGCTCAAATCCTGCCTATTGCATTGCACCCCTGTGCAGTGGCCATCACAGGGGACCTGGGACCGCTCACACACCCAGGCTGATGCAACCAGGGTGCCTGGTTACACTGCCCTGTGCTTGCAAGGGTGGGACTGGTGGTTAGAAATGCCCCACGGGAGACCAGGGCGTGCAGGGACATAATGATGGCCCCAGCCTCAGTGCCCTGCACTCCCTGTTGGTGCTGGGCTGAAAGGAAATCTCTGCTGCTACAGAACAGAGCAGAGGGAGCATCTCTTCCTGACAGTGCTCGTGAAATTACATTAGGCTCCTTAGCCCCTGGCCTGCTCGTGCGTGCCAGGGCTTGTGAAGGGCTGAGCAACCCTGGGGGTAAATCCTGGCACCCAGACCTCAGGTACATTTACTTTCCTGCTTCTTGTGCTTCCCTTTCAGAGGATGCCTGTGAGGCTGAGAACTGCATCTGGAACATCAGCAAGGGGCTGAACTGGGCCTGCAGCCAGCAGTGGCCTTGAACACTGTCAGGGATGGGGCAGCCACAGCTTCTCTGGGCACCCTGTGCCAGCGCCTCAGCACCCTCCCAGGGAAGAGCTTCTGCCTAAGAGCTCAGCTCAGTCTCCCCTCGGGCAGGTTAAAGCCATTCCCCTTGGCCTGTCCCTCCATCCCTTGTCCCAAGCCCCTCTCCAGCTTTCCTGCAGCCCCTTCAGGCACTGGAGCTGCTCTCAGGTCTCCCCTTCAGGAGCCTTCTCTTCTCCAGGCTGCCCCAGCCCAGCTCTCTCAGCCTGGCTCCAGAGCAGAGCTGCTCCAGCCCTCGCAGCAGCTCCGTGTTACAGATACGCACAACAGTAAAAGATGGAAGTGCCGCTTGTATTTGGCGCCGTAGGAGGAGGATCGAGCACTCAGCCCACCCCGTGCACTGCGCTGCTCAGAGCTCCCGCTCTGCTCCACGGCTCGGGAGCGTTCCTGACCCGCACGGCAGCACCAGCCCCACGGCAGCACCAGGCTCACTCACCCCCGTTTCCCGGCAATGCCCTCTCACCCCCGCGCTGCAGCGGGACACAGCGCCCGAGCCCTCCCCACCCACCTGGCTCAGCCGTCTGCAGGGCCCCGTCCTCAGCGCCCTTGGCTCTGCCGCCGCCGGCTCTGCTGGGGTGCAGGCCGGGCCGAGCCCCCCGCCACAGCCCGCGGCTGCGCCCCAGCATCCCCCCCAGCACCCGCAGCATCCCCCCTGCGGCCCAGCGCCTGCCCTCCGGCCCGGAGCACGCAGCCCGGCTGCCGCAGCACGGCACAGGCCGCTGCCGACAGTTATGGCCGCCCGACTTCCCCTTCCTGTCAGCAGGGAGCGGCGGCGCTGCCAGCCCCGCTGCCGGCAGCCTCCGCCCGCGTCACCGTGACGAGGCTGAGCTGGCACCGGCGGGACCGGGCCGCGCCTGCGGAGCGAGCGGGCAGGGCTGAGCTCCGCGGTGCCTCAGCCCCTCGGCGCAGGCAGGGGCATTTCCAGCGCTTCCTGCTGTTATCAGAACCGGTTACACTGCGGAGCTCACAGAACCACATCACAGAACCACAGCCCGGCTGCGGTTGAAGGGACCTTAAAGCTCCTCCAGCTCCAGCCCCTGCCACGGGCAGGGACCCCTTCCATTGGAGCACCTTGCTCCAAGCCCCTGTGTCCAACCTGGCCTTGAGCACTGCCAGGGATGGGGCAGCCACAGCTTCTCTGGGCACCCTGTGCCAGCGCCTCAGCACCCTCCCAGGGAAGAGCTTCTGCCTAAGAGCTCAGCTCAGTCTCCCCTCGGGCAGGTTAAAGCCATTCCCCTTGGCCTGTCCCTCCATCCCTTGTCCCAAGCCCCTCTCCAGCTTTCCTGCAGCCCCTTCAGGCACTGGAGCTGCTCTCAGGTCTCCCCTTCAGGAGCCTTCTCTTCTCCAGCTGACCCAGCCCAGCTCTCTCAGCACATCAGTGTTAAACGGGATGTCTGAAGAGCAGAGGCGTTCTCCCGACCTCAATAAACGTGGTTTGGTGGAAGGAAACTAAAGCCCAAGTTTGCTGTCAGTACACTTGGGAAGTTCATCCCGCACCCAGACTGCAGACTTTCCCAGCATAGAAACGTGTTTCAGCTATATTTCAGGTTTGAAACTAAGAAACTGTATCAAACCCCTCAGGTGATGCTGCAGTAGTCAGTAAAATCATCACTGAAATGTAGCAGTACCCATAAGGTATTTACCCTCTTTGAATTCAATCTCCACAAAGTCCGGATGTTTTCCGTAACATCAGCTGCTCTAAGCTGAGGATGAATCCAGCCCAATGCCGTTTTATCTCTGTGACATTTCTCCTGCATTTTGCACACAATTCTACCCGCTGGGTCAAGAAATGGAAATGCAGAATACTGGCTTCGATTGGAGCCTCTCCTCAGACATACAAGGCTCTAAAGCTGATTTACAACAGGGAAATGAGTTCCATTTGAAAGGGAAGACACAGTTGCCGAAAGGGAAATATTCAGAACTGTTTAGTTATACTATCAAATGCAATATTGCAGAGAATCAAAGCGTGTCTGAGAGCAAGGGGAGAACTGCAAGGGAACAGAGCTTGGGATGTTGGCAAGGATATTGTTTAATGGCTGAGAGGATGAAGGATGTGACACAGATGCAGCTCCAGGTACCAGGCTCCTGGCCCGAAGCTAAAACTCTACCGTTCATGGAGATGTTTCGTATTTTCTGAGAACATGGAGTTATTGATACTGGGGAAAGAAGAAACTCCCAGGAATGACAAACACAGGTTTTCCTCATTCATGGAAGCTCCGCAATGCATCCAGACATGACTTAATGTGTTTAGCTTAATTCCCTTGCCATTTGGTAAAGCAAAGTAGATCCATTTCCAGATCAGGACCCCACAGAGGAAATACATGGTGGGCAGGGTGAGCAGGAGGGGCTGGGGAGCGATGGATGGGGCAAGCTGCTGCAATGCTCACATTGCTCTTGAAGGCATCCAACCCCACAGGGGCTCCAGCACTTGCGCTTTAACAGGCACTCTCCAAAATGCTTGTTGTAAAGATGACTGTCTTTACATTGTGTCTGCTTCTGGATTTAAAGGGATTTTCAGGCCTCCAGCCCTTATCCACCTCAGGGCTGCCAATCGTTTCTTATAGAAGACACACCAGCTGACAGCTGTATTATTCACATCTGCATGAGGAAAGAAAGCACTTCAGGATTTATTATGCCAGCATTTAGAAGTGCAAAGACACAGAAGTCCTCCTGAAACCACAGAGGCAGTAACTTGTTCCTGAATTTTAGATGCTTCTCAGCACCATGAATGCTTAATGCCGGGGTGAGTTTTATTGCAGCACATGAAAGCTAATAAAAAGCTGTATACATCATTGCATTGGGAGTTCAATCTTTCCCTTGAATACTGTGGATCTCTCTCTGGCCCAGAGCATCTTGAATCCCTTCCTGAACAGCAGAGAGATGCAGAATACTCTTGGACCAGGGTAGCCTTGTGTGCAACCTGATGGCCTTAGTCCTCCTTAGAGGTGTTTTCTGCCTAGCCCAGTACATGCATATCCCTCTTGGCCCAGGTTACAAAACCATACAAAACCAAAAAATCCATTCACCCCCTCACCAGCCATCGCTTGATACCCACCAGCGACTCATTAGCAGAATGCCTCTGTGATTTCATAACCATTAAGCTCATAGGCAGCAACAACTTGTTCAGAGATGCAGAAATCGAGGCTTGAAGCACCATCTTACCCTCCTCCCACAGCTCCTGCCAGGAGGAGAGCAGGACCCCAGCTCCTCAGCAGGCCCTGGACAGCACAGAGAGCAACTCACACAGACTGGGCTGTACAGACATCCCCAGGCTTCCTCTGACCCTCGCTGCAAGGGGGGAACGCAGATCTGAAGGACTTGGAGTTATGAAGGAGCAGCCTAGCTCAGAGAGAGCTGAGGATGGTCCCTGTGGCTGTGGGGGTGGTGGTGCAGACTCTGACCTCTCTGTTTGCTGTCTGAGAGCAGTACGCAGCTGTAACACTTGCTGCACACTGGTACCAACACTAAGGATGGAAAACACAAAACCTCACAGGGCTGCATCCCGCCTCCGCAGCATCTTCACACCCCTTCTGCCACCTCGGACACATCATCAGCTCTTCCTGTACTGCTCCCAACAGCCACAGGATTGAAAGACTTTACTGCTCCAGAAGCCCAAGGTTCCTGCACATCTCTTTACATCTCCTGCACAACCCACTCCTACCTCTCCTGGTGGTAATGGAAATGCCTACAAACAAGGGCCACTGCAACGCTGCTGTAACCAAGAGGACCCATAAACCACACTTGCTTCATTCCTTTGACTCCAGGTTTTTAGCTAAGATGCAGTAGAATATTTGTTGGGAATGCAGTTATAAATTGTCTTCATAGGAGCCAAATTCAGTGGAGCTTGAGCTGCATCTGGAGCTGCAAATCTCTGCAAGCAAAGACTAAAGGGGGACTTGGGATGGGTCTGACTTGCCCTGGATAGAAAGGGCAGGGTTTACAGCAGCTGTGTCAGAAGGACAAAGCTCATGGCAGCAAAACAAAACTAAGTCGTTGCTTTGGTAAAGCCCCATAGGACCTTTCCCAGAGTTTGGGATGATCCTAGAGAGGCAATGAAATGGCATCTCTCCTCCAACACAGGGTGACCCATTACATGCCTACCAATGGGCTGAAGCGCAGGCTGGCTGCCCAAGTCCAGCTTCACCACGGAGGAGCAGCCAGATGCAAGCAACAAAGCTCCCAGGGAATTCCTCCAAGGTGTTCAGGCCGTCGGGATGAAATACAGCTTGGGAAATGAGTGCACTGATAAGCTACCAGGCCGCTGACTTCTGCAGTAATGCACAATTGGAGCATAGAGCAAATATGTGCAAAGCCCTGAAAGGAAAACAAATCCTGACAATTTACATTTTGACTCAGAGCTTGGAAAACCATTCAATTTAAACCGTTTCCACATCTGTTTCCCCAGCTGAGCCTGAGAACCACTCTGACAAGGACACACTCATTCACTTGTCACTTAATGATTTTCTTTCCTGAGAAAAATGGCATTGTCTGCAAAAACCAGGCACATTTAGGAATTTTTCAGCCCATTAGTCAACAGTTTAGGTTAAAAAAGAAACCTAATTTGAAAAGACTGAACGATTCTCTGCAGAAATGTCTTTTCCCCACACTTGTTTTCATATAAGGATGGCTTACACTCTGCTCAGCTCCTGGGGAGAAGCCATGTACCATCAATCAGGCTAATAAGCCTCCTGGGATGGTTTGCAGCCCCTGCACTGTGTGGTCAGATTTCCCCTTTTAGTGACTGTCTGCATATGTATGCAATCAAATGTACCCTGGGCAACACAAGGAGAGGCACTACTACGGGGCCAGTTTGTCCCAGCACTGCACACCACGGGAGTCCATGACAGAACCAGGTGCCTCCTGTCTTGACAATCATGGACTGGTTTGGGTGGGAAGGGTCCCAAAAGCTCATTTCTGGCCACATTTCCTTCGCTCAGGATGACTCCAGGCTACCAAATGCAGGTTGCCATGGAAAAAGCAGATGGAATTCTAAGATGTACCAGGAAAGTCATTCCAGTAGAGAGAAAATTCAGTATTCCCATATAAGGCATCTGGAATAGCCTGCACTACTCTGGTTACTCAGGAAAGGTACTGAAGAAGAAAGGGAATTAAGGAAGAAATGAGAGCAATATGTCTTTTTCTTGGCCAGCAAACTACAAATGAAGAGGAATCATAGTAGATATCTCTCCGAGAAACTCAATGCCAGAGAAGAAGGGCAATTAGCTTGGCAGAGTCACAGCATTGATACCTGAAGGAGATAAGCTGCTCATAATGGATGCCAAGGGCTGCACCTTTCCTGGTGGTGTTCCTTGTAACTTCCAGCAAAGGG